GAGAGGGAAGAGGGTCAGAGGGAGAAGCAGACTCCCTGCTGAGCAGGGAGCCCGATGTGGGACTCGATCCTGGGACTCCAGGATCATGACCTGAGCCGAAGGCAGTCACTCAACCAACTGAGCCACCCAGGCGCCCTATACACCTTTTTCTAACTGTTGCTTCTTCTGTCTCTTTTGTGGCAAGAAAATGCCCTTGTCCACGTTTCCCAAAGTCTCATGAAAGGGGGTAACCTCTTCTGTGACTATGGCCTTTCGGAAAAAGTCTCACCATGATCCTGTGACAAAGGAATTTTTCACTTGCTTTGTCTGAAGGGTTAGAAGGTTCCAAATTCACGAAAGTCTTCTTTCATCTGAACTATTATCTGACTCTGGATTCTTATTCACATTCATGGTTTCTGAATTTACACCTTTACAAACTGTATTACTGAAAACCTGTTTGGCTCTAAACAGTTATTTTGAGATAACATTAGTGTTTTAAATCGTCTTTGAAATTGTGCTGTTTTGCAAAAAGTTCGTTAGCTGTTGCTCTATGTTTATACCTGCCCTGAATCTTCCCAAACGCACCGGGTTCATTCTTTCAGCGCGTTCCTGCACGTGTGCTAGTCACCGCTCTCCGGTTGCCTTAAGCGGAGACTGCAGGAGGCATACGGGTTGCCAGGTGTGCTCTTGCAGGATGGACCTGTCCCCCTCAGGCTCAGTAAGTGCCAGTTACTTTCAGACCTAGAGTCCTGGTTCAGAACCATGATTCCATTTGGAACTGTTATGTTACCTCTTTTGTTATGTATAATTGTTTTAAGTTTTTAATTTTGTTGCCAGTCACACTGTAAAAAAACCCCAAAAACCAAAAAACAATGTACCCAATAAGGGGATGCAGGCTCAGTGCTTCAAGATGACCTCTGACACCTACGACCTTGAGAAGATACGGAGTTTAGATGGGAAGTACCTGAGAGTTCTCCCTTCTAGTCTTCCCTATTACTCAAATGTGACCTTAAGTGGTTTCCAACTGTTATGCACTTTCCCTCTGATGTAGGGTATGATGAAAGATCTTGATCAAAGGGGGAAAACATGGAAATTAATAAAAGGAAACCTTGTTTAGAATGGAGTAGGGAGGGGCGCTTCCGTGGCTCAGTTGGTTTAGTGCCTGTATCGGACATCCTGTTCCAAGGAGTAGATCTGAGATTTAGAAGGACCAATGGCAATGCTGTTGGCCAAGGTATTTGGAGGGGCTTGAGAAATTTTGCCAATTGAATCTTAATAGTGCCTTTAGCGTGTTCAACTAACCCTGAGGACTGAGGATGGTATGCACAATGAAAATGTTGTAGGGGTGCCTGGCTGGCTCAGTCCAGTAGAGGATGTGACTCTTAACCTCAGGGTCGTGAATTCAAGTCCCAGGGTTCTGGGACCAAGCTGGACATCGGGCTCCCTGCCCAGTGAAGAGCCTGCTTCTCCCTCTCCCTCTGCCTGCAGCTCCCCCTGCTTGTGCTCTCTCTATCAAATAAATAAAATCTTAAAAAAAAAAAAAAAAAAGAAGCAGCTGAGATTTGGCAAGGCAGCAGAGAGCCCAACCTTATGAACCTCCCACCTCTGATAACTGGAACATGTAGCTCAGGTTGGGTGATCAGATCCCTCTGCCCACCCCATCATGGCACCGAGGAAGGTGCAAGGAAGAGGCTCAGGCCCTAGTTAGTAACCTCGCGCTCCCGAGAAGTACGGTTAAACTTCCATCAGCTAATGTGGGTGGCCAGCTTGCAGCTGGATCTCCACCCCTTGGGAATGCCAGGAAGGGTTGGGCGATAAGCATCGGTGAGTTGGCCCTGGAGGGCCAGTTGCAATTGGAGCCCTCTGCTGATACAGGTCTCGCTTTCGTGGAGGAGACACTCCTGCCCATCCCGTCGCCGGCTTCAGCACCGCGCCCTGCACGCTCTTTCCTGCCACTTGGCGATGGTGGAGGTACCGGCCAACGCCTGGATTTACCCTCCCCTGCGCCCGGAGACAGCCTTGGCTCAGACCCGGAGTGGGGTGGAGTTTACTCCTATCCAGCTCGAGCTCCGCTTCACCAGGCCAATCTGGACCTGGAGCGCCCTCTGGCGCGCAGTGCCAGGCTTTGAGCTTGGTCCCCGGAATGCGCTGGAGGGCGCCTGCCGGGTGGCGGAGCTCTGAAAATCATTCGGCCTTGACTATTACCTCACCCCTCTCCAGGTCCGGCTCAGGGAGGCGCAACGCAGCCTTACACAGCTGCTAGGATGGGTTTGGACGGGGGTCAGGGAGAACTAGGGTGCTGCGAAGGGTGGCTACATCGGTGTGGACATGCCGTTGCTGGGCCTGGAGTCATACGTGTTGTTTTTCTCTGAACTGGCCACTGCCAAGAAGATCTATACTGGCCTTGCTTGGCCTTTTGATGTTCCCCAACCTCATCACCACCGCTGTCCTTTCCTGGACATTGGAGCAGGAGGGGTGCAGCTGTTTCGGGATGCTGGGGGTCTCCCAGAGTAGAGGGAAGGCTGTCTTTACCGCGTGTAATGTGCATGGGAGGAATTCCAGAAACTTTTTCTTTTCGCTGATGTCACCATCTCTGGACCCAAAGGTAGAGGAATCAACGTGGTTTGGATGTGGGTGAGTTGGGGTTGAGCCCTGAAAATTGTGGAGACTCTCCATGGCCTCAGCCTCCAAAGACAGCTCACAGGAAAAATCTGGAGTGGGAAGTGGTGATGTCCACAGTCAGCAAATTTCTACCAGGTGCCAGAGAGGGCACAGGAGTCAAGTGTGGCCTGAACAAATCACTGACATTCTCTGGCCTTCCCAGGTAAGCGTGGACCTTCTGGGATGGTTCTGGGGTGGTCATGACTATTGAATACAGGGAATGCTGCTGATTATTGGGTCAGTGTGGACATGTCTTAGATTTCAGGCGGGTCCTGGTATACCCAGGGGTAGCTGCATGTGGGGCAGGTTGGGAAATATGTCACTTCAGCACTAAGGATTGGACAGCATCCTCAGGGCAGTTTCACAAAGCCAAAGCAGGGACGCCTGGTGGCTTACGCCCACCGAGGGTGGCCCATAGAGGCTGCCGGCAGAACTCTTTTCGAGGGTCCTGAGCTTCGGGACCCTGGCCTTGAGGGACTTGGGGCCTGACACCTGCACTCATAGGGTTGGGATCTGAGCTCCAGGAGTTACAGACTCTGGGTATCAAATAACCCTTTGTAGTGCTTCGAATTACAAACTTTTAAAAAATTCAATCCATTTCTTTACATATATAGTCTACGTGAGTTACAAATCCTCACTTCTGCCGCTCTGCTAGAACTTTTCCAGAAAGCCTCCATTTCTTCCTTGATCTTGTTTTCTACCAGTAATGCGAAGTTACTGTGTTTTGAAGGTTATAGCTGTTTGTAAACACCTGTTTGTTGGTCTTCCTGGCTAAGTGCTGGGCAAGGCCAGTGGAGGTCACCATGTCAGAATTGTCTCTAAGGAGGGAGGTAGACACAGGGATGGAATCATAGCTTTGCACATGGCCACCTCGAGGCTGTGCAGGTGTGGCGTGGCCCCCACCCACAGGAAGAGCGAGTCCATCAGCTGCATGACATGGAAATGGGTGAGCTGCTCCTACAGCCCCGTGCTGAAGTTGTGCAGAGAGACATCCTCGACCTTGGCGACCCAAGGCCCCTTCATGCCACAGCAAGCCCCGGCCCTCAATCATCGAAGACTCTGGCTCCGCTCAGATTACATACACTTTTACACATGGTCTTTTCTGTGCTTCTCAACAGCTCAGGAGAGCAGGCCTGCACATCCACACTAATAGGTGGGGGACCTTAGGGAGGGTAGAAGTCACATAGCCAGGGAGGGGTTTGAACGAAGACTGAACAATTGCCTTGGTCCTAGCAGATTTATCCACAAAAACGATGATCATGTGGAGCCCTTATAGTAGTGGGATCCTGAGGGCCGATGGGCTCAACGCAAGGGAGGAGGGACTTGGGAGTGAGAATGACTTATGGCCCTAGGTGGGCCCTGTGTATGTGGGGTGGGAGCCCTGGTTAGGCTGGGCAGTGCTTAGGGCTTTAAGGAGGCACAGGCTACTAATGAAACATGGCTGTTCCTGAAGTCTGAGGTGCCACTCAAGGCCCATCACAGTTCATCTATCCAGACTCATTAGGCCAGGACCCCCTCCTTTGGGCCAGAGCTCCCTCATCTGTTGCCTGACCAAGCCATCCCAGCCAGGGCTGGGACTAGGGTGAGTCAAGTAAGGAGCCTAGGGTGCAAGGTTTGAAGAGGCATTCACTGTCAGGGCCGCACAAGTGCAGGCTGGCACAGGCAGGACCCTAAGACAAGAGTCTCTTCTCCCTCCGCTCTCCCTCATGCCTTCACCCTAAGCTTTGAGCTCCTAGTGGAGCTCCTAGAGGCTCCACTCTAAGCACTGTGCCTGCTACTGCCTTGGGGGCCCCGGCCCAGCACGTGGGCTGTGCAGTGCTGTTCTCAGAGCTCAATAAACATTTGTCAGTGGTCAAGCCTCAGCTTTCGTTCCTGAGAGAAAAAGAGTTTAAGCAGCGAAGAGCATGTGTGTGTCACTCAATCTAACCGATTCTGGTTTGGCCAGGGTCTGGACTTCTCATTTGCTAAATATAAGCAAATGGAATGTCAAGGGGGAGAACGCAGTGCCCTTGCAAGATTCAGAAAGTCCAAGTCAGGGGCGCCTGGGTGGCTCAGTGGGTTAAGTGGCTGCCTTCGGCTCAGGTCATGATCCCAGGGTCCTGGGATGGAACTCCGCATGGGGCTCCCTGCTCAGCGGGAAGCCTGCTTCTCCCTCTCCCACTTCCCTCTGCCTGCCACTCCCACTAGGGACGACAGCTAGATCTAATCCGGGCAGCCAAAGCAGCTACCGGATGTGGATCGAGTGTATCGACTTTCTACTTATCAGGACTGGAGCAATAAGTAGGATCGATCCATTGCTTTTGACTGCCAGTGAGTGCTGCGCGCCGATTGGTCCCGGTTAAGGAAACGAGGAAAAAAAAGGCGTGCACGTGGGAGCCTCGGTCAGAGACTGGTGCATCTGGTGGGAACGAGGCCGGCGAGGGACCATGGCGTCGCTCAATTGCAGCGCCGTCGTCTGCGTGATTTGTTTGGAGAAACCCAAATACCGCTGCCCCGCCTGCCGCGTGCCTTAGTGAGCGCGGGGGTTGTGGAGAAGGGGACCGGGCGGGGGCGGCGGGGGGCCAGGCGGGGGCCCCGGTTTGGGGCCGGGAGGGTCCGCGCGACCTTTCGGGCTGACGCGGCTCGTGGCTTCTGTTGTTACAGCTGCTCGGTGACCTGCTTCCGGAAGCACAAAGGTAAGGCACCAGCGTCCTCCCTCCCCCCCCACCCCCCGAGCCGCCGCTCTCCTCGTGCGGGCAGCCCCACGTCCCGCCGTGCTCCCTCCCGGCCTTGCCTCGCCCGATCCTGTCGGAGCCCCAGGGGGAGCCTCTGCCTGTGAATGCCTCCCCGGATTTTGAGGTCAGAAACTTCTGCCTTTCCTCCTACAGACTGTCCTCCCCGCCCCCCCCCCTTTAAAAATCGGCGACTGCTTTGGCCGTCGAAGTCAGCCCTAGCAGTTTCTTCATCTTAGTATTCTGACTCAGAAGCTGCGCTGGCTGCAGTTAAGACCATTTTCTTTTCTTTAAATGCCTGGCTAGAAACAACGAGGTAGATCTGTTTGCCTTAAGGAGCGATTAGTGCTGTTAAATCTACATTTTAACCCCAATCGGGAGCGTCTTAGTCCTCAGAGACCGTTTCCCACGACTTCATGCTGAGTTGACTCTTTGGTTAAAGTTCTATTGGTTTTTTGCGTCTAGTGTGATCTCCCCGCCCCGCCAAGCCAGTCTCTGGCTTAGAGGTCTATGTTTCAAGCTGCATCGCTCCCCCTGCTGTTTTTTTTTACCCTACTATCTCGAGCATTTTCAAAGGAAATTTGTCAGTTCAAGATAGGAAAGAAGTAGAACTGTTTTGCTGGAAATAGGGTCGGGGAGCCAGGTTGGGTAGCTTTGCTCTGGCTCTGCAGCCCTGGGTGGCCCAAGAACCCCTAGGGCAATCCGGGGCAATCTGGAGCTCTAAACAGTGTGGCCCTGCTGCTGCCAGGGTTTCTCCTAAAATGCACATTTGAGTAATTCACTGCCTTGTTGAAAACTCCAGCCTCTCTAGCAAAGGGAGGCAGTGGTTCTTAGCCTGGGTATTGCTCTCCCTAGGGAGACACATTGTGACAATGTGTCTCAGTAGCTGAGGAGGGTTGGGGCCACTTCTGGCAATCGGTATTTGTGCAGATAAACATTCTGTGGTGTGTGAGACCATCTCACACCGTTAAAGACCTTTCCACCCTGAACATCATAGTGCCTTCGATGAGAGACACTGGTCTTGGGAAGAAAGGCCAACCTCCCGTGTGGCATTCTTCTCCTGCTTCCTCCACTTGCACCCCAGCCACCTGCCAGGCCTGCCCTGTCAATCAGCTGCTAGTCAGGCATCACTGTGTCCTTGCGTGTGACCCTATTTTTCAGGGGTCTGGTCCAGCTGTAGACCTTTCCCTCTGCCAGGAATGCTCTTTCCACCTGGCAGCACCTCCCTTTTGTCTCCCAGTCCTCTCAGGTGACATCAGTCAGACTCTTAATCCCGGGCTCTAGCTGCCAGCCATAAGGCTCAACCCCTTGGAGGTGGGCCTGATGACTTTCATCTGTGTCATCCCAGTGGCACGTGGTACATGCAAATTTGGTATCTGAAACTGCTGAGAAAATAGTTAGCTAATTGAAGTCAGTGTGCTACTTAATCTTGGGGAGAGCCCCGTGAGGTTAGGCAGGGTGAGGAGGATGGGTACAGTCCTCAGGGTGCATGAGGCCTGCTTCCTCCACCCTCTGCCAGGCTCAGGATTGCTTGTTTTCTGGGTGCTGCCCGTTGATTGGATCCCTCGCTTCCTCTGCATTTATCTCCATCCCCACCCACATGCCTTACCATGTACGTTTCCCACCTAGATGCTGGCTCGGTGGGGAGGTGCGGCCTTTAAGTGGAAGTGATGTGCATCTGATTTATGTCTCTTTCAGAGCAGTGCAACCCTGAAACTCGTCCTGAGAAAAAAGTAAGGTCAGCTGTTACAGCAAAAACTATAAAGCCTGTAGCAAACAAAGGTGGGTTGCTTGACTTCAAAAAAACCACCTCGGAAGGGGTTTCATACAGAAGCTGAAGGAGGAGACATGGGTTGGGACAGGGAATCAGGAACAAAGGCTTCATCTTAGCTCAGCACCAGGAGGGGGGGCACAACATCTGTTGTGTATTTTAGAGCAGCCTGAGGGCATTGTTAAGGACAAGAAATAAGGGGGTGAGAGGCAGCTGGCTGTGGTGTGGGGGTGAGGGGTGGACCCTGTTGGCAGGAACCTTCTCCAGTCATAGCTTCAGGTCTCCCTCCCTGGGCCTGGATGGAGTGGTCCGTTCACCTGAGCTAGGCTCAGGTAGGAGGCTGCCTTTGACCTAGCTCACCTCCCTGCTGCTGGGGGCTCCTCATGGCTTATTGTGGGAGTGGGCTGTCAGGCACCATGCCAGCCTCCGAAGGCAGCCCCTCCTGGTGCCAGCAAAGAGGTATTGAACATTCACAGCATGGGATAGCCTATTTCTGCCCCTTGAGAAACTTCCTTGTTGGGTTTAGGCAGTGTCAGAAATTTTTGGCCATGCTGGAAGCACAAGGTATTCACGGTAGCAGGTTTTTATAGAGCACCTAGTTTTTTGGCCCCTGACAGGGCTGGAGCCATAGTGAGGAGAGCTGGGGTGATAAGAACTGGAAAATGAGGCTCCTGGCCCAAAGACCACAGAGAAACACATAGAACAAGCATGTGAACACGCTAGGATGCATCTGTTAAACTCCCCAATTCTTAGCTTCACCCTCCTTCCCCAAAAAAAGGAATGTTGGTAAAGTCACAAATTCCAGAAAAGGTCACTTTTGTTTTGTCAATACCTGCTTACCCCTGCTCCTGTCACTGGTGTGCACATTTATCTGTTGGAGTAGTTCGTCTGGCAGCTGGGTTCTATTTCTAGTTGTAACTAGTTCTGTGTTCCTCAGATGGTGACGACTCTGTAGCTGACTTTCTCAACAGTGATGAGGAAGAGGACAGAGTTTCTTTGCAGAATTTAAAGAATTTAGGTAAGTGTGCTGTGCTTCTTTATCGACCACTGATACATTTAATCCAATGTATGGAATGTGATTTTTTTTTTTAAGTTACTAAATACAGGTGACCTTTGAACTGCACAAGAGTAGGGCTCCCGTCCACCCTGCAGCTGAAAATTCATGTGTAACTTTGGACCCCCACAGAACTTAACTACTAATAGACTACTGTCGGCCGGAAACCCTACCGGTAACATAGTTGGTTACCACACAGTCTGTATGTTGCATGTATCATATGCTGTATTCTTAAAGTAAAAGAGAAAAGAAAACGTTAAGAAAATCACAAGGAGAAAATACATTTACCTCACTCTATTTATGGGAAAAACTCCATGTATAAGCGGACCTGTGCAGTTCAAACCTGTGTTGTTCAAGGGTCCCCATACTTGAGTGTGGCACGCCGAGCCCTTCAGTCACATGATCCTGTAAACACTCAGGGCTTCCACACTTCCCCGCCTTCCTACGACTCCCTCGGCCTGGAATCCTACTGGTTTTGTGAGTTGGCAAAATTCTCCTCCCTCAAGCTTGGTTCAGATTACCCTTCCTCCGCTCAGTTTTTCTTGGTCTTTTGTCTTTCTCAGAAGCAAGCACTTTTCACCTTTCCTTGGGGCCTTGCAATATACCACTTGTATGTTATGGTACCTTCTCTCTCCCACACTGGTCTGTAGGGCAGGGGCCTGCATTTACCCCACCTCCCCAGTGCTCCGTATGTGGTCTAGCCATTCAAGTAGACGGTAACCCCCGGAGTTGGGAGTTTTAGAGGGATGAGAATGTTCGTAACGCCCGGCGTTTCTGTAGGCCCGCGTGGTCAGGCCTTGGGGCCGTTCTGTGACCCGAGTCATGAACGGGCCTGGGTAGTTCCTACAAGTGGGAGGTTTCACTTCCGCCTCACCGTCAGGCCCACCCTGCTGCTCACCCAGTCCCACAGCAGGGAGGAGACTGAGGGCAGGTGTGAACGGTTTTGTAAACTGTAAGGCACCACACAGATGTTGGTGTCTGTTCATTGCTACTGAGCCTGCAGTGTGAGGGCCGTGTGCTGGCTTCTGCAGCGTTCAGAGTCTTTGGTGTAATTCTCCTCACCAGGGAGAACCTTTAGGCCTGTGAATAACAACGTGCCATCAACTTCATGTTGTTCTCTGTGTTTGTGCTGGAATTTTTTCCTACTTGAAATGGTGTAAATTTATAGAGATGCCAAGAACAAGAATCTGTGATGGCATTTAACTGGGAAATCATCTGCTATGCTGACCTCAACTTGTTTATGTGGAGCACTGGTTCCATTCTTGGGTTTAAAGGTGAAGGGGATGCACCACCCTTGATCTGAACGCTACATCGGACACATTTAGCTTTTAGCTGTCTCCATCTGTTCCCACTTGAACTCACACTGGCTTTCTTGTTCATTTTTAAGGAGAGTCTGCAGCATTAAGAAGCCTGCTGCTCAACCCCCACCTTCGACAGCTGATGGTCAGCCTCGATCAGGGCGACAACAAGGCGAAGCTCATGAGAGCCTGCATGCAGGAGCCCTTGTTTGTGGAGTTTGCGGACTGCTGTTTAAGGATTGTGGAGCCATCCCAGGATGAGGATTCCTAAAATGGATGATTGTGCTGCTCACTGGAACGTGTGTGTGACTTCGAACCTGCCCGCACCCCCGGAGAACAGCTAGCGAGGGGCCCTCAGCGAGGGTGCTGACTTGCTGGCGTAGGGTGGGCCGCACAATGGCTTTATCTCCAGCACTGTAGGCGTGGGTTTCAGGCAAGAGGAGGATACTCGAGGTGACAAACCCTTTATGGAGGGACAACTTGACATTCCGATGGTGTTTAAATGTTTTAATTTTGGTAGCGTTTAGACATCACACTTGATTTGTCAAGTTTCATACCCATTTGAGTTAAAACTTGCTCACTGTTGCTAAATAAAATCAGGATATGGTGATTCTCTGGTAAATGGCATTGTTCATCCTTAGTTCATAATTGCTTGAAATTACATTAACCTATTAAATAGTAAGGTTTTGTTCCTTTCAAAGGAACTAAATGCAAATATCCCAGTCGAAATTTGGGGGCTACTTTCAAGCTAACTCGGCCTGTTCTGTTTGCAGGGACTTGGGGGTGCCCCACTGTAGTGATGGACTACACAGCTCAGTCGGATCTCTGAAGGTAGTAAAATTGGGGAAAGAAATCCTTTCTGGCCCTGAGGTTTCTTAGCCCTGGTTTGCTAACCAACCCCTGACGTCTGTCAGGGCCTGAGATGTACACGGAAGCCCCGGGCAGTGAGTGTAGGGGCCGCGGCAGCCGTCGCTTGCTCACAGGAGCTTGGAGTCGTTGTGGGAGTAGTGTGGCGGCATTGTGTGGATTAAACGTCTTTGGCAAAGCAGCCGGCAGGAAAAGGCCTTGTAAACACAAAGGCACCAAAGGGTTGCCCAGCCAGGTGAGGCTAGAAAGTGAGAAGACCTCACCTGTGGCCCAGGCTGTGTCTTTCCAGCAGAATCTGATTAAAGCCAGTAACACTGTAGGGTGAGGGTTCAGGGCAGATGTCTGCATATGGCAGAGGAGACTTTTTGCAGTGGAACTTGATCGAGCCCTGTGGGGTGGGGGGGAGAGAAAGAGATCGCTGAACCCCAGCTCCCAGGAGTGCCAGCCCTCCGGGTGCCCCCCGCCCTGAGCCAATGCTAGAAACGCACAGAGATGTGGACGAGCACTGGTAGGAGACCCAACAGCAGGAGGATTGGGTTCCTGCTTTTTGCTCATTCTAAACCAGTGGCAAATTAAAATACAACATTTCACATCCATTCAGTGTGATGGATGCGGGAGCTCTCCCCTAATAAGAGTATTATCTGCCACAGTCTTAAGACTGCTTAAAACTGGAAGAGCAAACAATCCCACTTCTGTTTATACTCTGGCTGGCCTGTGTGTTGTCATGGGAGATCTTCTCCAGGTTACGTCCTATCGTAATTCCTCTGGTATGGAAACTGTTTCCTTTTGACTTGTGCCACTTAATCCTTGCCGGGACCCCATGTGGTAGGTTGAGCATTAGCCCACTATATGTGTTGGCTGACTCCCTCTCCGGCAGCCCGTAATATAAAAACAGAGCTCTTGGACCACTGACTACCTGCTTGTCATTTGCGCAGCTGGAGCAGGAGATAAACCAAGTAATAATGTGAGGAAAATAAGATGCTAACTTCAGAATAAGCTGTCATCACAACCCAAATTTTAAAAAGTGGGACTAATTAAATGGAGGTTCAGAGGAGCCAGAACACTCAGAGGCAGTTTTTAAAAAGCGAAAGGGCTCTGGAAAATTCCTAGTTGTTGTAATGATGGAAACCACCCAAACCTGCAGCCAGTTGGGAGACCCAGGCTTCTGGTGTCCTGAGCAGGGTCAGGACGGCTCCCACCACAGACTCATGGGCTTTGGCTCCTGCCTCCTACACGGAGGTGTGAGGGACCCAGAGCTGTGCTTACCTGAGGCAGTGCTCGGATGGATGTGACACCAGCTTGTCCTTGGGCCGTCTGGACCGTGTAGCTACTGGGGCTCCCCGGGGGGAGCTGGAGGCAGGCCCAGACCACCAGCTTCCTCTGAAAGCCGCGGACACCCACAGCTGCGTTGGCCAGGACCAGTCCCAGGGGCCAGAGGCGGATTACTGCCGCCAGGAGGCTGGTCTGTGTCTGTGGCAGCAGGAGGGAGCCCGTGGGAAGGGGAACTTGAGACAAGTGGTTTTCTTCCACACCATCCAGTTCTTTCGAAGCAAGGAAGGCCATTCCAATCTAAAAAAAAGTGCCACTTTATAGCTTTCAATGTGTTCTTAATGGAAACCAAAACGATCTTTCACAAGGTAGCTTAACAAGGTGACCTGAAGGGCACTGGGCTGTTGAACAGCTGGATGCCTTCAACTAGAGGGGCGCCGTGTGGCCGAACTTCTTTATGCCCAGGGCACCTGTGCTTATAGGCCTTACGTATGCTACTTTAAGAACAGCCTTGAGATATAATTGATACACCATAAAATTCACCCCTTTGAAGTGTGTAATTCCATGGTTTTTAATATATGCCCAGAGGTGCTGATGCCGCCCTTTCTGCGTCCCAGGAGCCCCACCCCAGGGCCGTTGGGTACTGGCTGTCCGCTGTCCATCTTGCCCGCAGGGTCAGATACTCACTCGCCACCTCCGCCACGCGCGCTTGATGACCGTGGCAGCTGCATGAAGCCTCCGCACGTGTTTCCGAGCTAACCAGGACCGGATGGCTGAGGGGTTTGCCCAGAGACAAGAAGTGAAATGTTCCTTAGAACTATGCGTAGCCTGGCCCTGCAGCCACACCCGAGCTGCTAAAGAAATTTGGAATTGGCGCATCTTCAGGGGATGGCTAGCCTATGCCACCCCGTAAGGGAGGGAACGGAAGTTGGTACTGAAGTGAACTTGGCTCTGAAAGACGGCCCTCAGACTGTCAGGCTGGGACATGTCAGGCTGGGACAGACGTCGTGTGGAAGGGCCGCAGGGAGCAGGCTGAAGTTGTCTACTGGCTTACGAATTCATAAACTGGACCCCACTGGGCACCCATGTGTTGGTAAAGGTGACACTACTGGATGGTAGACTGGCAATTTTCATTTCCTTCTCCTGCAATTTCAGCATTTTCTGGTTCTTTTACATTCAGAAAAAGAGCTATTCCATTCAATATTAATATGTCTGGATTCTAGAAAACTAAAAAGCTTAAAGACAGATCCAAATCCTGCTATCTCACCAATGCAGACAGTTCTTTAGTTTCCTTACGTTTTTTAGGCCCATACACACAAACACACTTGAGGAAGGTGGCATCACCCTTGACGTGCAGTTTGGCATCCTGGTTTGAACATCACATTGGAAGTAGTTTTCCATTAAATTTAAAATATTCTTCTAAAACACTTCCTAGCTGCATCATAAGGATGGTCCGTAATAGCCATGACTTTACCACTGCCAGCTACATGGGTGGTTTCTAGTATTTTCAAAATAAGACTGCTGGGAACATGGTTCCTAGATCTCTTCCTTTGATGAATCAAATCTTGTCAGTTTTTACCTTCTCAAACTCTACAAGCCCTGGACCCAACATGTAATGATTTGTCATAGAGGCAAAGGAAGGTGGCATAAGCTGCTCTCTAGGTCTGGGAAAGGGGAATTAAAGGCAAATTTTCAGCCTCTGCTGCCTACAGAGCACCCTTATTTGTGGTGTCACCTAGTTTCCACTGAACTAGGGAGACACTCTGATGAGAATTCGAATCCCAGTGTACCATAGGGTTGTGCCGTCAGTGCCTCGAGGCTGGGACACAGCCTTGGCACAGGGGGTCTCCAGGAAACCCGGATCATGCGGGGTCTGCACGTGGACCCGTGTGCCCCGAGCCCATGCACCTCGTACCTGCCTGGATGAGCACGGCTGCCCGCTTCCGCCTCCCCTGCTTGCGGTACCAGTGTCGCCTCCAGCTGCCCTGGATGCGGCGAGCACACTGCTCTAGCACTTGAGCACGTCCGTGTTCCAGAAGCTCCAGCTGGGAGAAGGGGCATCCGCTGAGGGCCTCAGCCTATCCTCCCATTGCCCTGAAGTGGTCCCAGACCCTGTCCTGCTGAGGAGAGCACGTGGCTGGCTTTGGGGAACCCCCCTCCTCCTCATAAACCAGCTTACTGTGAAGTCCGTCATGAACACCTTGGTCCTGCCACAGTGAACTGGGGCTGCTGAGGCCTCAGATGGGTCACCAAGTGTAGCCGCTGCCTGAGTCAGAGCTGGAAGAGTGTGGAGGATGTCCTGGAGGAGAGGTTGCAGTGTGGCCGCCTCGGTGCATGGAGACCCTTCTGTGGGATGGGAAATGGAGGTCCCATCAGCTCTTGGTCATCCACACGCTTCTGTGGACTGGAGAAACCGGTTCTGGTCTCCCCACTACTCCACAGACTTCTCTGCTGTTCTTGCCTCTAACCACTTCCCCATCCTTTTTTGGGGGAGGCCAGAGGTGACCCCTCTAGTGTTCCTCAGGCCCTGGCTATTCTGAGGAATACAGGAGTCCCCACTTGTGGCTGTGTCCTGGGCTGGCCTGCAGCCTCCATCCCCGCCGGTCCCCTGGGCAAGCTCGCAAAGGGCACTTGGTGCCTGGACCCCAACCTGGAAACCCAGGCTACTCAGCCGGCATTTGTTCCAAGGCCCCAAACATGCAGGGGACCAAGCAGGGCAGCTGAGCCGCTCCCTCTGCCCTGGACCCCTTAACTCCCTGCCACGTATGAGGAAAGGGAGAACACATCCCCGTCCCAGGGAGGCCCAGCAGGTGCCCCTGCCTGCCCTCCCGCAGCGTGCAGGGCTGGCTCCTGTAGAGGATTTTACCTGAGGGCTCTGACCACCTTTTGCTGCCCAGCGCCTCTCCGGAGAAGAGGCTGCCAAAGAGGACGCCACAGACGAGAAATCGCAAGATCGACTGGGGTTGAAGGGGGCTTTGGGCACGAGACACAGAGCAGTAGAGCAGATCATAAAGAGAGGAGAAGGAAAGAAGTGGGGGGAAAGAATGAAGGCAAGTGACAAAACTGTGCCTGAGAGAGGCGGGAAAGCAGACGTGTCCCCGGTCTGCTGGGCCCCGGGGTAGGGCTGTGTGTGTGGGAGCCGTGGCTGCTGGGCTGGGGTCCGGCTGGGCAGGGGCCTCGCGCTCAGTTCTTGGCCCCTTCTTACCCCACCTGTGGGGGAGCTCACCCTACATGCTGACGACCCCAACCCGGGGCCACACGCCAGACCTTTCCCTTGATGGTAGAGCTTGCCAATGGGATGACACCAGGGACCTGGAGCTCAAGTCAGCCCTGCGGGGCTCAGCAGCTCCCCCAAACCTCTCTTCCCCACTGGCCGGGCACAGTCTGACCAGTTTCTTCCCAACATTGCCCACTGTGCCCACATCTCTAGCTTGACTCTGGCCAACGTGATAGCCTCACGCCCATGGCCTCCAG